AGCAAAAGCCTAAGAAAACATTTGACCAGAGGCCTGAATGGAGAGAGAGAGCCATGTAGAGACTTCTAGACAGACAGAAAAGTAAATGCAAAGGTTTTATCCTGAGCGTCGTATACTTAGGATGTTTAAGGAACAGCAAGGAATCCATCATTACTGAAGAAACAATAGCAAGGGGGAAGAAGGTCAGGATATTAAGGCAGACAGATAAGAAGCAGTATCATGTAGTGTCTTGTATACATAAGAGAGGCTTTGGCTTTTCTTTTGAGTGAAATAGCTATTCTCTTGTATGTGTTTTGCTGTTTTCATTTGTTTTGGTTTTTTGAACAACAAATGGTGGTTACCCATTTCTGCATATAAAAACCCAGTCAGGTTGTTTGAGATCACAGTCTTTTGAGTCCTTAAATAATAATTACATGTGCCCTACAGATCTGATTGTTGAGCAGTCAGATGGTGGAGGTTCTCTGGGGCCAGTTCTTCTGTCTATCCTAGGCATTCTTCTCCCATGTCCAGATCTCTCACCTTTTCCTCATATGTTGTTTGTAAACTTCAGTCCTATGTCATTGTGTCTCTAGGTAACCCTGAGAAACCATGAAAGACAGATTTGGGGAGTAACTGAGCAAGCAATTTGCAAGGCTAGGTGGATATGGTCATTGTGAGATGTGGAATTGTAGTCGTCCTAAGCAGTGGCCTATTCCAGGATATAACTTTGGAAGTAGATGGCGGAGAAGAAATAGGCATGAGTTACCTACTGTTAATAAATGTTTAAAACTAACATAAAATTTTCGAAAGTCAAGTTTATTGAGGTATAATTTATATACAATAAAATTCACCCTTTTTGAATGTATAGTTCTGAGTTTTGACAAAGGTATTGTGTTCATTCAGGTTATCCTTAAAGCAGATGGCCAATATCAAATCAAACATTCAAGGATTTTAGGGCAACACTTGTAAAAGAAATGAGGAGGGAACCAGGAAAGACTGCAATCACAATGCAAGCCTGATCCAAGTGAAAAAGAGAAGGCAAAAATGTTGAGAGTGTCTTTGAATGCTAGGAAGTCTAGGAAAGAACAGTAGGTAAGGCCTTTGGGAGTCTGAGCTCAAGTTGATCTTAGGACTTTTCACTTTGCACCTGCCTTAGTGTCCTTGCTGTGTCCAGTCATTGTCTGGGAATAGCCCATTGAAATGTAGCATTGGTTCAAATGTGGTGACAGATTTCTAGGTCCAGCAGATAGGGTCCTTGGTCAATTATACTCCCTGTAGTTGAAAATCTGCGAGGCACATTCATGTGACCATTCCAAGTTAAAGTCATATAGCCTACCACAATCAAGACTTAAATTATTCTCATCAATCCATAAACTAACATACCATATTTTGCTGTGTATAATGTGCACCCACATTTTTGGCCCAGACTTTCAGGAAAGAAATTTTTTCCCCTAAATATTTTATTTATTTATTTTTAGAGAGAGAGTAAAGGAAGGAGAAAAGGAGAGAAACATCAATGTGTGGTTGCCTCTCGTACCCCTTCTACTGTGGATCTGGCCTGCAACCCAGGCCTATGTCCTGACTGGGAATTGAACTGGCAACCTTTTGGTTGTCAGGCCAGCGCTCAATCCACTGAGCAATACTAGCTAGGGTATTTTGTTTTAATTTTTAAATTCAGTTATTTATTTATATTTAGAAAAAATTTGATTATTGTATTCCAAGGTTTTATTTTGCATACGGATATTATTTCTTTCTAGAGTTATACTTTTAACTCATAAGTATAAATAAAAGAATTAAAAACCTTTATGTAAATAGGGAATTAGTACTGCCCATGTATAATGTGCATCCTTATTTTTCCCTACAAAATTTGGGCAAAAACGTGCACATTATACACGGCAGAATACGGTAATTTTGAGGACTCGTTTTCTTTTATTTTCTAACCACAAGTATTTTCATTATCTTCAAAGTCCTTCTGCAAATTGCTTAGTAAACTTCTGGGACCAATTATCAGTTAACCTCAACAGTTTTCATTAATCACCGAATTCATCATGCCTAAAAGATGGATTTTCACTCCCAGTGGGCACTTCAAGAATCATAATCTTTGTAATATATAGTCCCTTTAGATATGGTGCATAGCCTTTTAGAGCCTCACATCAGTTAGTCATTGTTTTCTAAAGGGATGGGAACCTTCCAGATTTCTCTGGATGAAGTAGCTAATGTCAATTGTTAAGAGACATGCAGGTCTGAGTCATTATGAGCCACCACACACAGTAGCTGTGAGATGGTTGTACCAGCCTAGTTAAGAAGATCTGCACAGGGCAGCAACATTACAGGCTGTGCCCAATATCACATTCAATTTTCATAAAGCTCTATCAATTCTACTCTTTGATATTTCTGATATTCTGATTACCACTAGGTTAGTTCCCATTCCCTTTCATCTTTTCTTGCCTAAAAAACTGCAAGTCATCATCATCTCTTACGTAGATTATCACAATAGCAACCTAACCAGTTCCATGTTTTAGACCTTATCCACTCCAATCCATTCTCTACACAGCAAGTAAAATGATTCATATAAAACATAAGATGCCCTTTCATGATAGAAACACAGAACAAACTAGGAATAGAGGGAACTCCTCATATAGATTCCATTCTGATAAAGGGGATCTATAAAAAAGCCCTCAGCTAACATCATACTTAATAGTGAAAGACTACTTTCCCCCAGAGGTAAGGGATAAGATGAAGATGTCTGTTCTTACTACTTCTGTTGAACATTTCACTGGAGTTTTAGCCAGAGAAATTAAGAAAGAAGAAATAAAAGGCAACCGGATTGAAAAGAAAGAAGTAAAACACTTTCTGTTTGCAGATAACATGATCTTGTATAGAAAATGCTATAGAATCCATGCATAGAAAAACAGATTAGAACTAATAATTTAATTCAGCAAGGTTGCAGATACTAGGTCAGTATACAAAAATCAATTGTATTCCATACTCTAAAAATGAACAATCTGAAAATAAAATTAGGAAAGCAATTCCATTTATAATAGCATCAAAATATAAAATACTTAGGAATAAATTTAACAAAACTATGAGAGTTGTAACTGAAAACTACAAAATGTTGATATAAGAATGTTCAAACCTGTAGAAAGTTTTTATAAGAATTTATCTGAGCCCTGACTAGTGTGGCTCAGTGGAATGAATGCTGGCCTGTGAACCAAAGGGTCACTGGTTCAATTCCCAGTCAGGGCACATGCCTGGGTTGCAGGCCAGGTCCCCAGTGGGGGGCACATGAGAGGCAACCACACACTGATGTTTCTCTCCCTTTCTCCCTCCCTAACCCTCTCTAAAAAGATAAATAAAATCTTTTAAAAAATGAATTTATTTGAGTAAAACTGACAACAATGTGAGGAAACAATATCTCATATATTCCAGATAATGATAGTTTCTTTTATACATTTGGAATTAAGGAGGGATTATAAGGAAGATAACATTTCTTACATAAGGAGTATTGCTATCTTAATAATATTTTAAATATTTTGATCCATGAACACAGGATTTCTTTTCATTTGTTTAGCTCTCCTTCAATTTCTTTCAACCACGTGGATGAGAAGGTGCTGTAATAAATCTAACTAAAAGTAACCCCAGAGGGTGATCTGATTACAAATTCCTAACTGGGGAGGTCACGGTGGGTAGTAGGTAGCTTCTCAGACCTACAACTTCCCTTCTAAAAGGTTATCTTTGCCTTAAGCAACACTGTCTGTTGTTCTTGTGTATCTAGGGTAACAACACATCTTTGAAATGCCAGAGTAACCCTTTTTTTGGACCACTAGGAGGCATAACTACCCTCAAGGGAGTATTTAAGATCTTGCTTCCTGGTATTGTTGTCAGTTTTGGCTCAAATAAACTTTTTAAAAAGAATTTTACTCATTTATTTTTAGAGAGAGGGAAAGGGAGGGAGAAAGAGAGGGGGAGAAACATCAATCATTTGCCTCTCAGATGCCACCAAGCAGGGGCCTGGCCTGCAACCCGGGTACATGCCCTGACCCTCAGTCAAACTGGTAAACTTGGGGGTTGGGCGATGACACTCAGACCACTGAACCACACCAGTCAGGGCTCAGATAAACTCTTACAAAAATTCTCTATTGACATTTCTTACATAGACAGATCAAAAACGTAAATATAAGATCCCAAACTATAACATATTAGAAGAAAACATAAGCATAAATTTTCAGGACTTTGGTTTAGGATGGCTTCTCAGATACAACACCAAAAACACAAGTGACAAAAGAAAATAAATAAGTAAATTGGACTGCAACAAAATAAAAACTTTGTGCTTCAAAGGACGCCATTGAGAAAATGAAAAGATGACTAAATAATGGGAGAAAACTTGTGCAAACCATATATCTGATAAGGGACATATCTAGAATATGTAAAGAATGCTTCCAACTCACCCCCCCCATAACCAATTTAAAAGTGGGCAAAGGTTAACAATCATAAATTATGTTAATATACCCTTCATATAAGGTGAAGGAAATGGCACTTTACCTGTGATTTTTCTCCCCAAATCCACAACTCCAGTCTAATTATGAAAAACACATCAGACAAATTCCAATAACAGAGCATCCTACAAAATACCTGACCAGTATGCCCCAAAACTCTCATGGTCATCAAAAACAAGGAAAGTCTAAGCAACTGTCACAGCCTAAGGAAAGATGACAACTAAATGTACTATGATATTTTGGATGCTATCCCAGAACAGAAAAAAATAATTAAGTAAAAATTAAGAACTATGAAAAAACCATAGAATTTAGTTAACAATGTAAACATTAGCTCATTAATTATTAAAAATATACCATACTAATGTAAAATGTTAATAATAGGGGAACCTGAGTGTGGGGTATATGAGAACTCTGTTCTCTCTTCTATATCTGTTCTAAAAATATAGACTTTTAACATTTATTTTATTATTTTTTAAATTCTCATTTGAGGGTATATATATATGCATATATATATATTTTTTTTAGAGAAAGAAGATGGGAGAGAAGAAGCAATAGAGAGAGTGAGAGAAATATCGATGCAAGAGAGAAACACTGATTGGTTTCCTTCTGAATGCACCCCAGTTGGGGATTAAACCTGCAACCTAGGTAGGTGTCCTGACTGGTAATTGAACCTGTAAACTTATGGTGTATGGGACAATGATCCAATCAACTGAGCCACGTGGCTGGGGCTATAGTTTTTTCTTTTTGAAAACATTTTCACATATTTATTTTTAGAGAGAGAGGAAGGGAAGGAGAGAGGGAGAGAAACATCAATGTGTGGTTGCCTCTCATGTGCCCTTCCACTGGGGACCTGGCCCGAAACCCAGGCATGTGCCCTGACTGGGAATTGAACCTGCCATCCTTTGGTTTATAGACCTGCACTCAGTCCACTGAGCTACACAAGCCAGGGCTATAGTTGTTTTTTTTTTTAATGAGCAAAGGATTTGATTTTGCATCCTCAAAGAAGATACACAAATGGCCAATAAGTACATGAAAAGATGCTCAACATCATTGGTCATCAGAGAAAGGCAAATCAAAACTACAAGAAGACCCCTGGCTGTAGTGGATCAGTGGATTGAGTGCTGCTCTGAAAAGCAAAGGGTCGTTGGTTTGATTCCCAGTCAGGGAACATGTGTGGGTTGTGGGCCTGGTCCCCAGTAGGTGGTGCATGAGAGGCAAACATGCAGTGATGTTTCTCTCCCTCTTTCACTCCCTTCTCTTCTCTCTAAAAATAAATAAACAAAAAAAATTTTTAAAGCTACTAGAAGATACTATTTTAAGCCCACTAATCTGGCTAAAATTAAAAAAAAAATACAGACAATAGCAAATGTTGGTGAGGATGTTGGTTCAAAGACTTTGAACCCCTCATTCATTGCTGGTGGAATTGTAAAATAGGGCAGCCACTGAGGGAAAAGTTTGGCAATTCCTGAAAAGTAAACATGGGGCTGCCATATGACCTAACAATTCTACCCCTGGTTATATACTCAAGAGAAGTGAAAATACGTGACCACAGAAATGGCTATAGCAGTATTACTGGTAACAACCCAATGGCCATCAGTTGATGGATGGATAAACAAATGTGTTAACAGCCACACAGTGGAATATGATTTGGCAATAAAAGAAAATGAAGTACTGATACATGCTACAATATAGATGGACCTTTGCAAATATTTTGCTAAGTCAAAGAAGCCAGTCACAAAAGACCACATATTGTATCATTCCATTTATATGAAATATGTAGAATTGGCACATCTGTAGAGATGGAAATTAGATTTGTGATTACTAGGAGTTAAGGGGAGTTAGTGAGAAGGGATTGGTAATAGGTACAGCATTTCTTCTGAGAATAATAAAAATGCTCTAAAATTAGATATGGTGCCCTGGCTGGTGTGGTTGGTTGGAGTATTGTCTGATAACCGAGGGGTTGCGGGTTCGATTCCTGACCAGGGTACATATCTGGGTTGCAGGTTCTGTCCCTGGTCCTGACGCCAGCGATCCCCAGTCTGGGCACATACAGAGGGCAGCTGGTGATGCTTCTCTCTCAAATGATGTTTCTCTGTCTCCCTTCTTGCCTCTCTTCCCCTCTCTGTGTAAAAGCAACAAAGAAAATGTCCTCGGGTGAGGCTAAAAAAAATTAGATAATGGTGAAGGTTGCATAACTATGTAACTACACTAAAAACCATTGAATTATATATTATAAAAGGGTAAATTTGATGCTATGTGAATTATATCTCAATAAAGCTCTCATATAAAAAAAGGATTATATTATTCCTGTGCTCAGAACTCTCCAGTGGTCCATTTCACTTAAAAAGTAAAGTCTTCAATTGTCTAAAAGATCCTACAGGATCTGCTTCTTCATTTGATCTCATCTATGGCTCTCTCTGCGTTCACTCTGCTTTACTCTCTCTGGCTTCGTTGCTGTTCTTCATACCATCAGCACATTTCCTGTCTGGGGTCTTGCATTTGCCTAGGTCATTCTTCTCCAATGTATCTTCCTGTCTCATCTCTTCAGATATTTTTCAAATTTTACCTTCTTGGTGAAGCCATCCTAACTTGCCTCCCTCCCTCAGAACTCTCTTTCCCAGTTCCCATCTATACTTTTCTCCATATCACTTATTTATAGTTGACATACTATAAATATTAGTTACGTGTTTATTGGCTGCCTTCCCACATCCAAATGTGGAAGCAGGTATTTTTCTGTTTTGTCAGTCCTGTATTTTTCAGTACCTAGAACACTGGCTAGCACGTGGGAGATACTCGATAAATATTTATTAGATGAATGAATGAATAACATTTTATTCTTTTGCCTCACGTTTATCCCTGCTCAACCCATCTTCTACCTGCAGGTCAGAGTGATCTTTTTACATGTAGAATTATATCAAACCCTGGCTTAAAATCCTTTAGTAGTTTCCTCTCATGTTCAGGAAGAAGTATAATGAATTATTTAAGAGTACAAGTCAGCTTTAGAGTGCCTAGGTCCAAATCTACTTTAATACTTACCGGTAATGTGCCTTTGTACAATTTATTTAACCTTATTGGTAAAATAGGAATAATTAGAGTGCCTATGTATTAGAGTTATAGTAATTAAATAATTATACACATGTAATATTGCCTAGATAGTAGCCAAATCCATCACTTTTTAAAATAGTTTGCAGACTGTTAATTTAAAAAATTCTACTTTTTTATCATTCGCTTACTACCAGTGATCCTTCTTCTGTAAAGAAACTTCCCACATCATCTCTTTGGTTACCCTAAAGTATATTTTAAGTGTTGAAGATACAAGATTGATGCATATTGTCATTTTTCAGTTTTCAGAGTCATGGTTCAGGGCTCTGACAACCTCCAAAGGTGAACAAAAGAGTACCTTCTGGCATCATTATGAAATCATAGACCATCTTGACATTTTTTATCCCAAGCCTGGAATCAGCCATTTCTCCATGGAGCTCTAGATACTATTTTATTTTAAAGATCTAACTGGCTTTATTCAACAGTTCATGAATTGGTCAGTATCCCATCCAGTAAATAGGTGCTACCTAATGGCAAATGGTATTTAGAGATCACAATCTGGACACCAGAGGGAGCTAATTGCTACTGGATTCGAGCACATACAATTTTTTAAAGAGATTTTGAGTTAGTATACAGTTAGGATAATATCACTGTTTTCCTTGGAAGATTACGTTAAAGACTAGAGAATGAAAACTTTCTAATTAAGCAATCTTCTTTACAATGAAATAGGCTAAATTTATTAATCAGAAGTGATTATTTTGTCCTTCTCTCTCTCCCTACCCCCTCTTTTTCTTTTCTCCTTCCTTCCTTCCTTCCTTCCTTTCTTCCTTTTCCCCTTAGAAATAATAGTTTGGATTGGAAATAAGGAGTAGAGAAGAAAGATGGTTTGATAAGAGCCAGCTTTTAGGTTGGAGCAGAAAATTTGCTGTAGAATTATCAGAGGCACAGACCAAACAGAATTTTTCATAATAGCCAGAAGAAATGTAACACTGAAATGCAGAGGAGATAGAAAACAATGCAGTGGTTCTGTAAATGAGGTGGCTATGGGAGGAAAGAAGGATTGTTACCGAACAGCAATCGGGGTCCTGCTGTCCACTGGCACCATCTAGGCCACACGTGGCAAACACAAGGCCCTCTGGCTGAATCCAGACCTCCACCTTGTTTTATCCAGCCTGGCACCTTGTTTATACCTAGTGGCAGTGCCAAGCTCTCGTTTAACTGTTAAGGAGTAGTTACATGTATACAGTCCTAAAATTACATTCAGCCCTTTGAAGGCAACCTCAAGGCTGATGTGGCCCCTGGTTAAAATGAGTTTGACACCCCTGATCTAGGCAAAATTCCAGAGGCAAAGGTTTGGTGATAAAGGAAAGGAGTCTTTTATTTTTGTCTTTATTGTATTTTTCTATTACTATTTAGTTCCCTTATACACTCTTCCCCTCCAGCAATCACCATGCTGTTGTCCACGTCCATGAATCCAAAGGAAAGGAGTCTATTTAAAAACTTCACAGTTTTGAAATAACAGCTTTCCACATGAATCAGTCACGCCTATCAATTAAGGCTAAACTCTTTGACACCTGAGTTCTATCATTCCCCCTGTTAGTTTTAATGATCTTATTTCTATAGGGTTAGTTTACAAACTAAACCAACGTAAGATACAAAAGCTATACAATTTTGGAAGAATAGCAGATTTCTGCCTCAGATACTGTTTCCCATAGAACATCCAAAGAATAAACCTGCCACCCTCTGCCAGGCCAGCCCTGTCCTAAGATATGCCAGGAGTTCCTTCCCATCCAAAATACCATCCTTTGGGAAATACAGGCAGCGGCAGCATGATCACCCACTTCCTCGAGGCTGAGAGCTGGAGCAAGCCTGAGAGCCTCCGAGCCAGAGACCTAGCTAGCCCCGTTTTATTTCAAATCTTCTAGCCCGCAATTCCATGTGCTCTGGAGGCATTCAGCTTCTCAGCTACTATCTTCCTAGACTCTTTACCATTGCCTCCTCCTACAGCCCCTTGGTACTCCTCCCCAGTAATCTGTTCAGATATCTCTGTAATGGTGTCTGCAAATTATATGAAGGACCTACTGCTTCTTTTTGGTGCCCCGCCCAGAAGTGCTTGATTATTCCACAGTCACTGTATTTACCCATATTTTGCCATGTGTAATGCACTCCTGTGTATAATGCACACCCACGTTTTTGGCTCAAACTTTCAGGAGAAAAATCATTTTAATTTTAAAAAGTGAGTTTTTTCAAAAAATGATTTTATTTTATTTTTAGAGAGGGGAATGGGGGAGAGGGAGAGAAACATCAATGTGTGGCTGCCTCTTGCCCGCCCCCCCCTACTGGGGATCTGGTCTGCAGTCCATGCATGTGCCCTGACTGGAAGTCAAACCAGGGACCTTTTGGTTCTCAGGCTGGTGCTCAATCCACTGAGCCACACCAGCCAGGGCTCATTTAAATTTTTTAATTCAGTTTTTTACTTATGTATATTTAGAAGCAAAACGAATTATCGTATTCCTGGGCATAATTATTTTGCATACGGACATTGTTATTGCTTTCTAGAGTTACACTTTTAATGCATAAGCATAAATAAAAGAATTAAAAGACATTTATATAGATATGGAATTAGTACTACCCATGTATGATGTGCATCCTTATTTTTCCCTAAAAAATTTGGCCAAAAAAGTGCTTATTATACATGGCAAAATACAGTATTAATTTGGCTTGCCAGTCAACAGAGAATCAAAGGGTAAGTAGCTTATTTACATACCAGAAGAGAATGACCTCAAAGTTCACAATTTACCATTGTCCTTACTTCCCTCAAAACTAAAAACCTAAAGTGTGGTTAAGGACCACTTTGCCTCTAAAACATGTGTTGGTTTTGACCTTTATCTAATACTCATGACTTTATTTTGGTTAAGAGAAGTGAGGTGAATGCTGGCTGGACATCTTGTGATCTGGATTAAATTTCCTCTAGGGGTCAGTTTCAGGGCTTCCAGGAGTTGGGTTTAGCCAGAGAATCACACCTCAAACAGGATGTTTTTCCAACTGGGTCATTTTTCACAAAGTACTTTTCAAAGACAATTGCTTATTTCAAAGGCAGTAGTTCTCAACCCTGGCTGCTCATTAGAATCACCTGAAGAGTTTTCAAAACAATACTATGCCTAACCCCCAGAGATGCTGATTAAATTATCTTAGGGTGGAGCACAGCCTTTTTATGTTCTAAACAGTTCCTAGGTGATTCTAATATGCAGCTGAGGATGAGAATCACTGTTCTAGAATAAGAGTCTTGAAGGCTTTGGAGTTTAAAAAATAAAAAGGTGGCTTTGATAATAGGGCATAAAAGGCATACATAAAGGACAGTATATTACAAACCGATTGTATGTACCTCATCAGTAAAATATTTTGAATGTCTTCTGAATATATGTATATTTATTTTTGTGTAAATTATATATAACAAACTATAAAATTAAAAGATGGTATAAATATGACATAAACTGTATTTCTAAAATAGTTTTTATTTTCCTTTTAATGGTATAAAGAACACTTTTACTGCTTTCTATTGAGAGTAATGAGACAGACTGGGTTTTATTCTTAAATATCTTGTAAAACAGTAATTTGAAGATCCAGGTGTAGGTTTAATTTATTCCTATGTTTGATTGAATGGATATTATAGTTTAAAAATATAATTCAGAAAAAAGTTTTGTGTATCCTTGCAGTCCTGACACTAAAAAATGCAAATAACTAACCGTATTAGCTACCTATTGCTATTAAGCCGTAATAGCATGAACTTAGTGGCTTAAAAACAACACACATTTATTGTCTTGAGGTCTCAGAGAATCAGGAATCTGGCGATGGCTTAGTTGGATCCTTTGCTTCAGGGTTTCCCGAAGTTATAATCAGCTGTTTACCAAAGCTGCCATCTCATCTGAGACTTGACTGAATAAGAATTGGCTTCCAGGCTCATGTGGTTGTTGGCACTCTTCAGTTTCTTACAGGCTACAGGTTGAGGACCTGTTTTTCACTGGATGTCAACAGGAAACCACCCTCAGCTCCACACAGTGTCCTTCTC